TTTTTTTCTTTTTGTTTTTGACTGTGTCGTTTTAACTGAAACTAACTCGGCCCCCGCAGCTGAACGCGTTCAGCGCCCAGCACAACAGCAGCCTGGGGGCGGTGTCGCGGGCCCTGCACCACAGCGCCGAGCACCTGCGCACCGACATCGAGTGGCGGCAGAAGTTCCTGCCGGACTGCAAGCGGTGGACGGAGGACGCGCTGCGAGACCCCCACAAGTTCGCCCGGTGATGTGCGCGCCCGGTATCAATGTTGTTTCAATACTTCAACCAAATTTGCTCAAAAAGAAATGACTCGATTGACGAAGAAGTCCTCTTACTTTCGTATGTTGCTCTCCTTTGGCGAGCTCCATTTCCTATACTGTTTTGAGCGGCCGCGTCATTGTTTTCGATCTCTGGTCCTTTTGGCCGGCCGGGATCGACTCGGAACTCGAACCAACGGCTGGTACTTACGTATATTTTTTTAAACGCAAAGTAGTAATAAATTGGTCTGTACTTGTTTAGAAGTGGCGTTTTCTCGGACCCATTGAAGGCCATGGACCACGAGTGCATGGTTGTGGGTAAATGGCGTTTCCAGGTAGGTGCTATGTCATCGTACAACTGTTTATTATGTTTAATTTACAAATCATACAAACCTCAACCCTCGGTATACACCAGTAACAGATGAAACAAATCGAGAATTTTCTTTAATGTACATGTAGGAAAATAAAATCCGACTGCGAGCAGATCGTGACCTTCTAGGGCTTTCGAAAGGCGCGGGGGCGATATGCGTACATATTTCCTTGTGCGTTACAATACAAACAGGGCAGACAGAAACAAAGCTGAAAATTTTCCGATTCTATTAGAACGGAGGCGCAAATCGGTCATTTGCATGCGTTTAAATGTAAGTACGACTTATTTACGAAAATATTGTGGTGAGATTCCCAAGCGGCAGTCTGGCAGGGTGTTATGCCCATAGACTTCACAATCACATAAAATAACAACACAATAAAGATGATATACCTCCATGGAAGAGATTCACAATCAACATTTCATTTATATTATCATAATCTGTAACAATTAACTCTTGCCACGTCCTTCAAAAAGAATCAATTCCTATTTAAGATAGAGATAGGTATTCATTTTTCTCTTTCTTTATTAGTTTTACTTATTTTTTGTACAAAATACGGGGACGGCTTTGCTACTTTCCCAACATTGTTGGTATATACCACTTAATCTAAAGTATAGTATCAAGTCGCGCTTGTCGAATATTTCATTCAAGCACATCGAAACATAAACATATATAAGACAACAAAAACAATGAAACAAGAAAATAACATTCATGGTCAAGTTTTAACTTAAAAGAAGTTGAAGGGCAAAGAGCCGCTGCCGAATCTCTACTTTGTTCACGAACACTCTCATACACCGGCATGGTACAACCCTTTCGATGACTGGCTCATCAATAAGGGTTTTGTCACCCTAGAAACAAAACTCGAAATCGTTTTGAATTTTGGAGTCATAAATAATTAATTTACAATTTGAAATATTTTTCGCAGTGGATTTCAGAGGCCCCTTCTTATACACGTGTACACACTTATGGTCGTGCTGTTAATTAGAAAAAACAATTGTATTATTTATCACATGGTATAAATTGAAAGTCATTTTCTCATCACATCCCTTCACATAATTGTATTCTCGAACACGTATAACATATATATGTTACAAAGGAAATGGAATGCAAAAATATAACAGGTCGATTGAGGAAGGAGCCATAGAGGGAAGAAGAGAAAAGATGCACGGTTGGCGAAGAGTGATAGGAACGGGGTGTTTGTTCGGTCTCGTTAAATAAAAACCACTTTAAGTAAAAAACAAATCGCACCTTAATTAACTTGGTGTGCTTTTCAAAGGGCCACATCAAAGGCACAGCTTTCTTAGTTGGCTTGACTTACGTCCTATTTTCAGAAAATTGTAGTTTCACAACATGTGGTAACGTTCAGAAGCTAACACTTGGTTATTTTAGTATCGAATAGTTAGTATGTTTTATTTATTCTCTACAATCTACAAATAAATCTAACTCTATTAGAACATTCATTTTTCAACATTGACGATTTAGTTTACTATGTACAGGCATTCTTTACAAACCAAGCGAAGCGTTGGCGTCACACATGTGTGATTTAGGTCTTTTTAACGACAAGTCCCTGGCCATTGTCAAATACTTAAGTTAAACGTTCCCTCGAAGCACCAGGTAAGTTTCAAGATTCAGCCGCACAAACGCGCACACCTTGGGTCTGCGCGGTTGTAGAGCACGACTCTGATCCGTGATTGAGCTCCGGCGAGGACCCTCGCCGGTAGAGTAACTAACATATCAGGCCGAAAAGAGAAACATCAACGAGGGGGGCGAGGGGAAGAGTGAGCTAGAGAGAGTTTAGCCAGGGATCACGCTTAAACTAGTCTATGTTTTCTACCCTACTTTGCGCAGCCGCGGGGCGGGGGACCCCGGGGGCCCCTCCGCTGGGCGGTGCTGCATGTAGAATATGACGCTTGGTCGATCGGGCAGTGATCGACCGGGGCTAACGATCAACAAAACCATAAGGAGCGAACTCACGACATTGTGTGGCGACCGCTTAAAAGGGAGGGTCCCAGCGCCAAGCGGCTGGCAAAACGACATCGAGTCAATATCGATTCCGTCTGCTCGGTGACAGTTCCGATATAGTTTCTTCTACATCGTTTCGATGTCGTATCGACAGTCACTTTGCACTGGAGTACGGTGGGCATCGTTTAGTTCAAACTGGGCCCGCCATTCCGGCAGGCCCGGTTTTCGCGTTTTAAGTTCATTTCGTTCATCGCGTGTCCCGCCTGACGATAAATTTGGTCCCATTTAATTAAATCCCCTTCGAAAATCGAGCGTCGATCCTCGGGATTTTCGGTCAACAACATCCCCTTGAACTGCGCGACTCTCGGACATAGGAATCAACCGCATGAGCTTAGCCCTCAGACCGCTGGGAGCCCGCCACAAGAAATTGAAATCGATGCGATACAGTGCCGATATTGATTCGACATTAGTTACCAGAAATTTGTCGGTCTTAAGCTCATTTCAGGATAGATTTGTCACAAGGATATCGACACATATCTGATATCGGTTGGGCATCGTTTCGATATCTTATTTTCTCACGGGGATGCAAACGGCAGTCTCCCAAGCGAGTCGGGGCAACTTTAAGTGTCGTTTTAGATGTTAAAATTTAGAATAAACAACAATAACAAATTTTAAACCGCACCGTTTTAACCCTGGAAAGACGTATCCCCCAGTACAGCTCGCCACTACAAAAGTAAAAACAAAGTCTAACACTTTACAATACTCTCGCGCCTTGTTTACATTATATGTACAATACAAAACAGTGGCACTCGAGAATGATAAACAGTTATGGTACAAAGTTTATTGAGCTAGGAGTACTGCGACACAAGCCGTCACATTTACATTTTGAGATACCAAAAAGGACATGCAACAGAAATTAACAGCCTTACACGCCGTCTAACATGGAGGGGATGTCACATTCGGGCCACCCAGTCACGTGAAGCATGGTGGAGGGGTCGTTGCATATTCAGAGCGTTCACCCTGCAGCCCGCGGGAACTGAAGAAAGTTGCGCTCGGGGGCAGAACTTTGCCCCGCCTATTTACCGCACACGGGCTAAAACCGATGCCGTAGTCTATGCCCTTCGTTCCCCCGGTCCGGGTGGGAAAAAAAATCATTTAAAATAAAACATGCTTTTTTTCTGACGTGAAAGTTTTGCCAGCTGTGTGACTGCGTCGCCTCTTCAGTGGCATTCCCTGCATTTACGAAAAAAAAAAAAAATCATCCAGTGGTAGAGTCACTTTTCTTTGTTTAATTTTTTTTAGTGATTTACCACATTATTTTTGGCAGTGCTCCATCAGAGTTTCAAACACAATCATCCCTTTTACGCTATAATTTCCATTGTGAACGCAGTACGCAGACTTGAGAAAAAAATAAAAATAACTGAGCATTTTCAAAAACTAAAATAAAAAGAGGTCATCCGGTCATACTGGGTCGGGGAGCCACTACTACGACTGTTTCCACTGAGTGTCATCCCGCCTTGCGTTGTGGAAACGGAACGGACGAAGGCAGATCCGGGTCGGGCAAGATCGGGAACCAATTATTGTCCATATCGTTATCAGGCATCAATCAATCAGTATCCGCCGAGGGCGTCGGGGCGCGCTGACCGCCTCAACGCGTGATTATGCACTCAACTATCATCAACCATCGTAACGAAGACGTTGAGGATGATGCGGGCACGCTCTCGCGAACCCGACCCCAGACAGCATCAGACAGTTCAGTCGTGCTTTCTTTTTTGTGTAGGTTGTAACCAAGGCGTTCTTGTTGATGTGTACCACCGCGGTGCCGCCAAGAGAGTATCGTCCACTTTTCCTCGGATTCGTTCGGCAAATGACGGGAGCTTCTCGCCTGCGAGTCTCGGGGTAGGCCGTCCCGCGGCACGTCCATGCACTGCACGCGAGACGTTTGCCTACCCACCAGGCGCTTCCAGAGCTGGCTCAGACTGGACAAGGTTCGTAACGGAGAATGACGCGCGTTACTCTCTGGGACGATCCCAAAGGCCGACTAAACTCTCCACAGAATCGATGCGATACAAACTGCGACACAAATAGTACATGCGTGCCGACTTTGAAACGGATGGGAACAGATATGATGCTCTGGGTTGTTTAGACATTTTTTTAAAAATGGTTGCTCGGCCCGGCCAGACCCGACCATTTGGCTCGTTCACAACAGCAAGTCTCCGAGGAGAGACTATTGGTATTATCGGTCCTCGGCGGGAGATGAAGGGGGGAA